CCACCTCACCCCAGAAAGAATGGCTGCTATCAAGAAATCATCCAATAACAAATGCTGGTGGGGGTGTGGAGAAAAAAGAACCCTTCTCTATTGTTGATGGGAGTGCAGACTGGTGCAACCACTGTGGAAATCAGTATGGAACTACCTCAAAGAACTAGGACTAGAGGTCCCATTTGACCCAGCTATTCCTCTGCTGGGTATCTTTCCAAAAGAATTAAAAGAATCATACCACAGTGATATATGCGCACCCATGTTTATAGCGGCACAGTTTGTAATAGCTAAAACTTGGAAACGGCCCAAGTGCCCATCAACTGGAAACTGGATAAAGAAAATGTAGGTTCTTTTTAAATAAAATGGAGTACTACTCAACCATAAAGAAGGAGAAACTAGAGACATTTATAGCTAAGTGGCTGCACATTGAGGCCATACTCAAGTGAAATAAATAGGACACACATGTATAAATACTGAGTAGTTTCTCTGGTGTGCAAAACTAAACGTGCAAATAAGGTTCAAATGGTATAACTGATAATGTGAAATAGGAAGAAAAGGTCTAAAGGAATTGGGGAAGTGGAAAGGGTAGGGGAAAGGAAAGAAGGGAAAAGAAAAAATATGAGAAAAAAAATGGAAACAAGTCTCTGTTAATAGGGAAGGGTGGGCAGGGAATGGGGAAAAAATAAGAACTAAGATACATCATGTACAGGTACAACGATGAATGTAACTGTATTATATACCTAAAATGTACCAATAAACTTAATGAAAACCTTAAAAAAAAAAAAAAAAGCATGGAGCTGTAATCCAGTATGAGTAATGTGCTTATAAGAAGGGAGAGAGACACCAGGACTATCTGTGCTCAGAAGAAAGATCTGTAAAGACGGTGACAAGGCAACTGTCTATAACCTAAAGGAAGATACCGCGGACAAAACCAACCCTGGCAACACCTAGATCTTAGACTTCTAGTGTCCAGAGCTTTAAGAAATAAATTTCTACTGTTTACACCACCACTCTTGTGGTTATTCTGCTATTTTGTCAAAAATGTCTTCTTGGAGAAAGGTGAGAGTCAAGCCTTTGAGCTTTTGGCCAAATTTATTTTTCTGGATTCTGTGAATTTAATTTGGTTGCTTTGAATAAAAAGAGAGTGCAACTTTGAGTCTGCTAAAAATTCAAATTTTAAAAATCACCTGATAGATGGGATAACTTTTGACTCACTTATCATTGTGCTACGAACCTGGTGGAATGTTAGGCATGGTGATTTTAACTAGAAATATCTAAGGAAAATTTTGCAAACATCTTAATGGTGTACTATGTAGACTATTCCATGAGCTAGATCTTTCTTTTTCCTATCTATATCTCCAAAATTTTCTTCAGTGTGTTCATATGTATTTTATAATGGAAAATTAAAACATAATTCATTTGAAAAACAAGAAAACAAACAAAAAAGAATAAGCAAGAAATAAGTGGCCCTAAGGTGGCAGCTGAGAAGGGAACCACATGAGCTCTTTGGGCTTGGAAGCCTTCAGAGAGGTCAACGAAGAGGACTGGAAGAAGGAATTAGAAAGCCTGGACTGTGATTAGGAAGCTGGGACGTTCTGCTGAGGCAGGAAATGGCTGCATTGTGGTTGCTGCTGAGAATTCTGAGCTGGTTACTGAGATTTAAACACCTGCACCAGTGAACTCTGGTCTTCAAGTATGTGTTGGTCAGCTCCGGCAGACATTCCAGACATTCCAGGTGAGGGAATGAAAGACCCAGGGTTAAAACTACTTCCTACACCCTAAAGCGTGTGTCTTAGAGGAGGGTAGGAGACAATTTAAACATCAAGATCTTTGGAAATCAGATTTGTGTGATAAGTATTTCTGTGTCAAAGTGGACCGGACTGTGGGTGCCCTACATTACTGTGAGTAGTCAGAGTATGTCAGGGAGTTTTAGATGAAATTAACAGACTGAGTACAGCAGAGTGCCTCTGGGAACAGGTGAGCTTTATCCAATCAGTTTGAAGGCCTAAACACTACCAAAAGTTTGGCCTTCCACAGGCTAAAAAGTTCCTGCCTGCCTTCTAACTGTATGTCAGCTTTTTCCTGCCTTCAGGCTCAGACTGCAGCCCCACCATCAGATCTTCAGGGTCCGAAGCTTGCCACCTCAGCCTGCACGCTGTGGAGCCTGTCAGCCACCCGAACTGTGTGACTCAGTTCCTTATAACAAATTCCATACCTACGTCCTAGGTTCAAATCACAGCCATTTCTTAATAACTGTGTGACTTCAGTTCCCTAATCTCACTGAGCCTGCAAACGGCCCATTCATCAAAGGATTGTAAAAAAGATTAATTGAAATAGCTACAGAAAGGATTGAGTACAGGCCCCGACACACAGTACTCAGTATTACAGCAGGCTCATTTTATAGAGAAAAAAGAAACCCGGGACAAACAGAGCCTAAAGATACATTCGTAATGAAGGTGGTATCAAAGGGAGGAGGAATTATTCAACAGCAAATTGCTCCTTGTTGGTTCTTTCCTTTTAGTTTTTTCTCCTATTTCCATAAAAGCTGCATTGTTTCATCATGTAACTCTTTAATGGGAAAATTCAACTGGAGTGCTTCCTTCACACACACATCACCACTTGCTTAACATAACAGGGGTAAAAATATGAGCTGATTAGGGTTTTGCAGAGGAACTAGGTTATTGTTGAACATATTAACTATTATAACTATATATTTACTTTTAAAAGTAAATCTTTGGGGCCAGGGATTTAGCTCAGTGGCACCGCGCCTGCTTTGCAAGTGCAAGGTCCTAAATCTTTGATGGCAACTTATATTGCTGTCATTTGTCTTGTGTAAAACTAAGCATGGCAGCTGAGCATGGTAGTGCATGCCTGTAGTCCTACCACTTGGGAGGCTGAGGCAGGAGGATGGGCATGAGTTCAAGGCCAGCCTGGGATACACAGCGAGACCCTGTCTCAAAAACAAAACAAGAGCACGGCATCAGTTCCAGCCTGCTAAATCTGACTGGCAAAGATCTCTAACAATGGTTAACTTTGAGAAAGACGGTAAGTGCAATCTTTTCATTTTATCTCCTTAAATTTCAGGGTAGGCCATGAGTCATCCTGCAGAAATGTTGTTTCAAATGTAAACACTCCATTTAGCACGTCTTATCCACCCACAGCAGAGGTACTGACATGTTTTGCTTTAAAGCTGGAAGAATCGCCAGCTCCTATGTGACAAGGCCCTGACTACTAATAGTAGCCATGTGGGGGTTAGTGTTAGGAACTGGGGAGCTGCAGAGCACCACTCTCGAATCAAAAGGTGCCCCATACTATTTAGATCACAAAATAATTTAGAATGTGCTTGTTAATTTTATTTTCCTTTATTCTTTCTTATTGATAGTGGTATTGGAATATTATTCCCTAAAATAAGTCTGCAGCACAATTTTTCTTAACTAGTAAAAAGCCTTCTTCTTTCCAAAATGTATAATCTGGTTCCAGAAACCACATTTATTCAATGAAACAAAACTGAAAAAAACCATGTAATTCTTACTACACACTAGTACCATTCTAGATGTGAGAGATACAAAAGTAAAGGCATACAAACATACAAGCAAGCAATTCCGACACAGTGACCAATAACTAACAGACCTATGTTTCAAGAAAGTGGGTATGTTTGAGGGCAAGGGGGGCTTGGCAGAACCACTAACAGGCTGCTTGCAGGATGCATTTGGCCCATTCCAATGGGTTTTTTTGGTACTGGGGATCGAACTCAGGTCCTCGAGCTTGCGCAGCAGGCGGCGAAACCACTGAGCTAAACCCCTGGCCCTCCAATGGTATTTTTAAAGCAAAAACTTTAATTTCTGATCATGAAAACTTTTATGTTATAGTTCTTATACATTCCATACACACAAAACAACCCAAAGGGAAATTAGCTTAGTGTGAGAACATGAATCATCTTTATTCACACCTGCTCAATTCAACATCCTCCCAAAATAGGCACAACATGGAGGAAAACTTGCTTACAATTGTACAAAATTAGGATCAAGAGACATGTGTTGCTATGTGACAATATAAAAGAGGATGCACACAGTTGGATGTATTTGTTACAAATAAAGGGGACCATTGACTTAGGAATTCAATTTATTTTCCAGGGCTGGTTGTAACGCAAGGTGGTCAACTGAAGGCTCAGGCTCCTCCACACAGCCTTCACAGTCTCTCTCCTGTACACAAGCGGATCTCAGTGTCCTTAGAGAGACACTGGCCCAGGATTTCTCAGTTAACCGCACACAGGAAAGGAAGCTGTCATGTTCCTTCCACAACTCTCTAAGGGTTAAATCTGTATCTGAGACCATCTGGAAGCACAAGTGGCCAGCATTCGGGTTGTAACTCAAGACTTTGGTTGTAAATTAAAACTAAAAATCCGATCATAGCCCAAATTGTTCATAAGGTCGCAACTCAAGGGTCCACTGTACAGAATGGGAAATAAAACGCTACAAAATTCCTGGGTTCCATGTGCACTTGAAAAATGTCCAATATACAAAAGCCAATGGGGCTATTTCTAGAACGCGGATGGAAATTACACTCGAAATCACTTCTGTCATTCGTTTTTTGTCATCATCCCCAAGGCTACCTTTGCTCCAAAACTCCTTTCCACCACTGTCCCCCTCGGGGAAGGGAACGTTCAAGTTGTTATGGCCACAGTAGTTTTCTAAACTTGAAACAGGAAATGTTAAGGCCCCTGGCTAGACAGTGTCCCCGCCTGCTTCACCCGCCCGCCCGCCCAGGCCGTCCCGGCATCCATCACCCCGCGCTTTCCAACACCATCTTGGGGGCGGGGCCTTACTGAACACGGTTTCGCGGGCAGCCTGCGGGGACAGCGCCCCGCACTGAGGATGTGGGTCACAGCGACACGCGGCCACCCGGCGGCCCACAGCGTGGGCCCTCGGCGACGCGGGGCCTCGGGGCGCGACTTCCCCCGGCCCGAACCGGGAGGCGGAGGTCGCCAGGTGCCCGGCACCCGGCCCTGCAGAACGAAGCCTCTCGCCGGCTCCCGGACGGTCGCCCGGTGGCGCCGGGTTCAGCCCGGGTTTGGTGGCCCCGCGCGGCCCAGCACCCGGTGACCTTCAGGTCCCTGCGCTCGGGCCGCGGTCACGAGGGCCACGCCCACCCGAGTACTTTCCAGAACCCGCCCGGGACGTCCTGGGGGGACCCGCGGCGGGGCAGCGAGAGCCGGAGACAACCGCGACCCCACCTGCCGTCACCTCACGCGACGGGGCGGAGCCGCCCGAGCTAAATTTAGCCACGAGCGCCCTCCCCTGCGGCTACCCCCGCGGAGAGCGCGCTGACGTCAGCGCTTCACCCAAGGGTGACGTCAGCGCGCCGCGGGGAGGCTGAGCTAGAATGTTCACGGAGTTTCGATGCCTTAAAGGGACCAGGTCTGGGGTCCAGAAGGAGGTCCCGAAGGAGGGCCAGGCGAGAGAGCCGGGTCTTCTGGCCTTTGTACTGCAGTGTTGGCTGTTGAGACAGTGATGATCGCAGAGAGCACAGCCTCCTTTGGAGGCTCCCGAAGTCCTTCTGGACCCTCCTCCTGGAAGTCCTCCTTGGTTAACCCGGGCATCCTGCTGCCCGGTGATCCTGACCCAATAGTTTAGAGTTTGCCAGGCCTCGAGCCCTTGCTTCTTAGCGTCAGCCTCGCAGCATGTGCTTACATCTGTGCTGGGGGAGAAAGGCTGAGGTTTCAGTGTTTCCGACACCCACCAATCTGTGAGATCCAGCGAGGCGCATTTATCACCATCACATTACTCATGAGCTCTGAATCCAGTTATTAACCTCTCTGGATGTTAACTTCGCGGCCTGGACTCCAAACACCTCCCCTGTGCTAACGATGCTTGCGGAAACTTCCGGAGGGCGAGATCCCCCTCCACGGCTTGATAGCTCAGCCTCAATCCCCAATACCACAAAAGAAAAAAAAAAGTCCTTTTCCCTAGGTGTACCCACATCTTTGGCGATAAAGGGTGGCTCACCCTCATCTCCACCTGACAGGTCCACCCTGGTCTCTGGGTTTCCTTTCTACCATTGGCCGCAGCTGGGCCAGGGTAGAAGAAATACCTTCTTTTTTAAATTTTTTATTTTGAGACGAGGTCTCACTACGAAGTCCTCTTGCCTCAGCCTCTGGAGTAGCTGGGATTACAGGCATGCACCACTGTGCTCTGCTCAGCCTCGGTTTTGTAACCGTGGGTGCTCAGGTCCAGGTGAGGCAACCAGCCTGGGATCCAGTGGCCTGTTAGTGGGAGAGGGTCCGAGTCACCTGGCCTTCAACATGCGTCACAGCCACCTCTGTCGTGAGACTCAGGTAGGGCAATGGGCATGGAGGTGCCTGGCAAACTGACATGTCCTGTATGTGACAGTAGTGGCATTAAGTAAAGATGGGCCTGAGATTGCGGTTTCCAAGGGCTGCTGGCTGCCTGTCTTCCCCTCTCCTCTCTTCTGCCTTGCAGGGATATGAGGGCTTGTCCTCCTCGGATGTAGGAATCAGTCCCCGCCGGAGTGATACACTGAGGTCCGTGGCCATTTTTAACCCTTCGGTAATGAAGCGCGGGTGTGTCATCGAGCCTTTGATTGTTTATCTCCCCAGCACTCCACCAACCCGGAAGCTCCATGAAATGTCATTAAAGCCATAAATGTGACGGCCACTAATGTGGAAGGATTGTGATCCGGCAAACACTCCCAGCAAGCAAAAGAGCAAAAATCTGGGTCTGCTCCCAACCGTGCTGGTGACTCAGAGTGTGACACAAAGCAAAATGCTTTGTGGACAAAGTGTTTTGGGGACACTGCCCCGGCTCCCGGAGAGAGAGGTGGCAGGTGGGTAGGGCTCAGAGAAAGGACCCTGGGTAGATCCCAGTTCCCGAGCTGCTCCTTGGCAGAGGCCATGGGCCATCCACTCGCCCTGGCCACTTGGGCACCTGCCCAGATGGAGCCCCGAAGATGATGGCACTCACCCTCATGACCTCACTGTCACAGGGAAGGAATGCGCCCCGATTGTGCCTAACTCCACTTTAATAACTCCTTGCCGATCTGGCCTCCAGGAATTTATTTGAAACTTTCTTTAATCTATTTATATTTCAGCCTGTACAGCCCTTTCAGGCAACAAGTAGCTTTTACCATTTATGTGAAAACAGCGGGGTCCTAAAACAGAAAGTGCGATGTACGCATTTATTTTAACAACTGGTAATTATAATATGGTATTGGCAATAAACAGCAATTTTGAGTGGAGGACCACTGTTCACTGCCACGGCCTCGAGGGCTTCCTCTTTTTGGTCTGTAGCTTTATGCTCACCTCCCCCACAAAGGTATTTGTGAATGAAGCGCTGGATTGTGCAGCCGCACAAACACCGTGTAAACACATCCTCCTCTGCCAGGTGCTTGTCGCGGCCTGGGCCCTGGGAGCACAGAGACAGGCGCGGGTCCCTACAGTCTGGAGTCGGAGCGTCCAGACCCAGGCTCTGGCAGATCCCGCGTCTGATGAGGGCCAGCTCGGGGTGCCACTGAGCCTTCCCGGGGCCTGTCCTCGGTGTGTGGCCGTGGCAGAGACGGCCCTCCTGACTCTTTCTGCTGTGTCAGGCCCTCATCCTCCCAGACGCCCCGCTTCCCGAGCCCACGAGCGTCACGCGGGGGTCCAGGGCCTCCACACAGGGTCTGCCCACAGCCAGTATCAGGGCTGGGTGAATACCGGGTGGATCGCAGCCTGGAGAACAAGCGTGGGGAGTCCCTGGACCCGAGGGTCAAGGCTCCTCCAGCTTTTCCTTCCGGAGCTGCGAGGCTAAGCCCCCCTGGTGGACCCACTGATTCCCGGCTGCTGACATGGCACAGGGAGGAGGGACTGGCAGGGCGCACCCCTGCCAGGCTGTGTGCACTGGCAGGAGAGAGGGGCAGCACGGGGCCCACAGGAGGAGGCCAAGGGCCTGGGCCATCTCTGTTTCCAGTAACCGTGGCTCCAGAATGGGGTGGTAAGACTCGGGTGACTCGGTAGGCGAATGGACCCTAAGACGTGGTTCATCCAGACCATGGATGGTTCTTCAGCGCTAAGCAGTACGGTGCCATCCATCCAGGAAAAGACATGGAGGAACCAGAAGTGCGCACCGCCCCCTGGGAGCAACCAATCTGAAAGCTGCAGAATTCCAGCTGTGACGCTGGAAAGAGGCAAAACTTGGAGACAAAAAATATCATTGGTTACCAGCAATTGGGGGTGGGGGACAGCAGAGAGCAGGAGATTTTCAGGTTAGTGAAACCACTCTGTATGATCCTGCAATGGTAGATACATGTGTCATTAATAATTTGACCCAAGGCTTCATGTGGTGGCTCTTGCCTGTAATCCAAGAACTCTGGGAGGCTGAGGCGGGAGGGTGGAAAATTCGAACCCAGCCTGGGCAACTTAGTGAGACCATGTCTCAAAATAAAAATGAAAAACAAGCTGGGGATGTAGCTTAGTGAGAAGGCCCTGGGTTAGGTCCCCTGTACTGAAAAAATACAACCCTAAGCGATGCTCCCCCACTTTCCCCAAGCCCATGGATACACATCACTAAGAGAGCCCAGTGGAAAAATGGCCTTTAGGAGACAATGCACCAGCTGGTTCATTGATTGTAAGAAACGGGCCACTCTGGCGGGGATGTAGAGGAGAGGGGAAGCTATGCCCCTGTGAGGATGGGAGTATTTGAGAAATCTCTGTATTTGCTGCTTTATTTTGTTGTGAATCAAAAGCTACTCTACAAAATAAAGCCTATTCAAAACACACACAAGTGTTGAGGCAAAACTTTGTGTAGAGTCCTTTCCATGCCAGTCACACAGATGGCTGAGGTCGGAGCCCCTCCAGCATCAGCTCTGTAACCTTGGGAAAGTTATTCACCCCTTCTGATCTCAGCTTCTCTAGCCCCATTGGGATTATAATGACCTCCTCAGGGCAGTTTGAAAATTAAATGCAAACCTGTGTTACAGAATGTAACCCAGCGCCTGGCGTGGTGAATATGCATGAACGCCCCGCCTCGATGCTCCTGGGCTATTTCACATGCTGCTGATGGCTCTGATTTGGAAGTCAGGCCAGTGGGCCAAGCTGTCTTGCTGACAGCCCCTCTTCTCCTAAGGAAAGGGTCTGCCTGTGGGGGTGGCTGTGTGGCCCCAGAATCCCAGGCAGTCACTCAGTCCTTGGAGTCAGCATTAAGCCCCCCACTCAGGGCTGTCCGGGAATAGGTCAGGATGATGGAAGGCCGTCATATTTAGACGATGGCTCTCAGGGAAGCCTGTTAGTCACCTATGGTGTGACATCATATTGCCACTCAATATAGTAACAGCTGTTGGTTGCTTTGGGGGGCAGGGGTGGGGTCAGCTCTAGTTGACCAGCCGTGCCTGGAGGATAAATTGGATGGGACAGAAGGGAAGACCTGATAAGAGGAGACATCCTCCTCTCTGTGGATGGCCCACCCTTCCTGAAAGATTTCCAGCACATCACCCCAAAATGTGAGTCTTGGCTGTTCTTTCTTCAGGGAGACCATGGGGAAAAGTGTTTGGTCAAGACCCCTCCAGATGGGGGAATGTCCCCCAAGGCCGGGCCAGGGGAGGCGCCACCCACAAGAGGGGTAGACAAGTGAGAAGTTTGGTGTTCTGGCTCTATAATGCCTACATGGCCCCCACCGAGGGGGTCCCGAGGATGGGGACAGAGAGGACCAGGAGCTAGAATGCTGGAGTAGGCTCTCCACCTGCCCCTCCACAGGGCCCAGGTCAGGGGTGGGCAGACCAGCACCCCACTGCACCCCATGCTGGAGCAAGCCGTGCTTTGAGGACAGCACTGGTCAGTGCTATAGTCCTCTGGAGTGTTGGTAACCATCTTGTCACAGGCAGCTCGGGACTGGTTAACCCTTTCCTCCTGGTGGCCTCTCCCCGCTGCTGATTCTCCCTCCCCAGGGAGCCCATCTTTGGGCCTGGAAAGCTTGTGTCAAGAGTGTAAGATGGACAGGGTAACTGGTATAGGTGGCCCTGGGGACACTGACTCTTCCAGCATCAGGGCTAGAATAAGTCCAGAGAGAGAAGTTGGAAGCTAGGAGGGCAAACCCTGGAGGGCGACAGGAGACCTTGTTTGGCAGCTGGTTTTGCCAATGACCAGCTGTGTGACCTTGAGCAAGTCATTGTCCCCGTTTAGATTCTGAATATTCATCTCATCTGTAAAGTGCCCTGCACTTGGAGTCAGAGCAGCCCTGGACAGAGAGCTGCCTCTGAACCCCAGTTTCTCAGTTATCAAAGGTGGGTTATGATGGGCCGGTGGTGTGGGGCTGTGCCCGGGTGTCTTCTCTGGGACAGTGTGAACCTATCCAGGGGTCACCCTGAGTTGGACAGGAATGCGGGGTTGGCCCAGACTGGATGGGGAGGTGTCGTGGCCAGCCAGGCTGTGAAACCCCCAGCCCCAGGGACCCCCTGCTTTTAAATGATGTTGAAAACAGTGCAGGGGCTCAAGGGCCGCACCTCCCGAGGGGCACAGCAGCAAAGCCAAGGAAGTCTGGGCTGAAGGGTGACGCCTGGACCCGGGGTGCCCCGAGGAGGGTCCCGGAGCAGGCCCGTGCCTCTCCCCGCGGCTTGGCATCGGCTCCGCAGGCAGCGGGACCTCGGAGGGGGGCCCTGGGAATAAGCGATCTCCATGAGACAGTGACCAGAGAGAGCCTCTGCACTCACCCCGGGCCACCAGTTCTTACAGAAACTCCAGACTGCGGTGCATGCTTCCCGTAAATAGACTAACCGGGGTTAGCTATTTTACTTCAACTCTCCCTTTCAAATTGCATCGAAAGCGAAACAGGCCACTCCTCTGAAGCAGGGCTTTGAGCCACCGGTTTAAATATTCGTCCCTCCCACCCAAAGGGGGTTTCTCTGGCTCTCTCTCCTTTTTGAAGCCCGGGTGCTGCTGCTCCGGGAGGCTGGAGGAGGCCGATGACTCATTTGACATTATCATAGCTGCGCAGCGGGAGTCAAAGTGATTTTCAAACTATGAGTAATGCGCGGCATGAGAGAGAGCGTGACAGGGCTGCCGGCTCTCAGCAGCCGGGCGGCCTGGGATCCAATAACGGCGAAATGCAAATGCGCAGTAAGAAAGGGCTCTGGGAAAATGCAAAGGATTCGGATGTCGGGAAAGGCGGTGGACTCTCAGGGCCTCCACATCTGATCTCTTTACAGGGAAGAAAATACTCTTACAGTCTTCGTTTTCATATATTCACCTCTAGGGAAGGATGGATTTAAAGTCTTCAGCACATTTCTTCTTCTAAAATAATATTGCCATAAAGAAATGCGCTGTGCTTCTTGGTAGGAAGGAGGACACAAATCATTTCTTTCAATTTTTATTTTTTATTTATTTTTAAGGAGATACTTAAAACCCAAGAACTTCACCCTAAGCTATATCCCCATTCCCTTCCCCTTTTAAATTTTTGACACAAGTCTTACTAAGAATGAATTGCTCAGGCTGGCTCGAACTTGCCATCCTCCTGGCTCAGCCTCCCAGAGCGCTGGGACTATAGATGTGTGCCACCAAAGCTGGCTTCTCCTAATTTTTAAAGATGGGGTAGAAACCTATGGGTGGTGGGGCAGGTAGAGGCCTCCTTACAACTTCTTTGTCTATTTACTAGAGCTTTTGAGAGCTGTCACATACATAGCGCTGAGTACTTGGGTCTTAAGAGAGAAAAGCTAGGTGGCCGGTCCTATCCAGAGCCGAGTGGGTCCCTGGCCTTGGTTTCCTGGGGATACTCACAGTGCTTTCTCTGAGCTCTGGGTAGGTGGGGACAAGGTCTGCCTGGCCATGGTGGCCCCAGTGTCTAACTTGGATCCTGCACATAGTAAGTGCTCAGAAAATGTGCACAGAATTAATGACCGAGATGAGAGCTGTGGACACCAGAGCTCCTCTGTTTGGTTGATCTTTTGGCCTTTAGTTTGTCCAGCCCAGGGCCTGGGGCTCAGCAGGGACACTGATTCCTAAGCACGAGTCACTGCTCACATCCTTGGGGACTAAATGCTAAAATCAGACCAGAGCAGGACACTCAGGAGCGCTCCTTCACACAGGCTTACAGACGCAGCAGTAATACAAATTTGTTAATGTGTTGGAAGTAAAATCAGGAGAACTGTCAGACTGAACTTCACCTGCTGATTCTTGACCTAAAACCATCAAGGCAAGGAGTGGTAACAATAATACGGTCAATTCCTTGTCTGGGCCCTGTGATGGGAGATTAAGGACAAGGAGTACTTGGGTAGATACACCCCAAA